ACGAAGGAGGGATTTGTTTTTGTGTTTTGCTCTGCTTTCAACTTCTGAATTCCCGTGCCCTGGCACATAGCACGGCTTTAATCAGAACTTGATGCGTGAGTGAATGAACGCATGGATGGGCTTTTGGCTCACGGTAGGTGCTAATGCTCCCGGGCTAACCAATGCGGCAGAAAGGGCTGCAGCTGGCCGCCTCCCTGGGCGTCTCTAACCAGCCCTGTCTCAGCACCCGGGTCCTCTCCAGCATTCTCCTATTACCCTCTCCTCCACGGGGGAGGGGGGAACAGCCCGGAGGCTGCAGGGATACAGCTGTGGGGAGCCCCCACCCGCCGCCTGGGTCACCCACCTGAGCGGTGCCCGCAGCACCGGCAGAGACAGCTGGGCACGGCCTGCAGGGGGCGCCCGAAGACTAGCGAATAGGGCACCCGCAGCGGCCCCGGAGGTTCAGCTCCCCGGCTGTGCCCGCCCACTTGGAATCTGAGCGGGAAAGAGGAAGGATGGAAGTTATTTGGGGGAGCGAGAGAGGAGCGTGGAAGTCAGGAAGCTAGAATCGGGGAGGGGCAGCAAGACCTTTTCGGATTTTTAGCCAGGACTAACAGGGTGAAGGAATTTATCGCGATGGAGGCGTGGGGGGTGCAGTCCCTGCCTCCGTCCCTGTAAGGAGAGGCTGGTCTCCCAACGGGCCCAGCTTGCTACGCACGGAGCTAGAAGCTTGCCTTCTCTGACGGGGCGCCCGACTCCCCTCTAAAATAGGGTGCCTGCTCCTCTCATTTCCACGGAACCCCCTGCTGCCTGTGGGGCAAAGGGAATCCTTAGGAGATGGGCAGGAGGACCCAGTCATTCTCTGGTTTCACAAATATTTATGGAAAACCAACCACTTTCCAGGTTCCGTTTTAGGCACTTTACAGAATCACTTACCAACGTCAGCAAGAGGCCCGCCTTAATGAAGCCTGTCTCCTATCGCGGGAGCTTACGGTGACAACGGCCCTGATAAATGACCAAAGGTGATGTTTTTATATTACTGCCTGCTTCAGAAACTTTAACCTGCCGCCTCGCGTCGCAATGATCTTTCCTCTCTTTTCCTTAGACTATTGTTTGGTCTCTGAGTGCACATCATGTTATGTGGTAACAGTATTGATCGCTTATAACTATTATTGCTAGTAATAATTAATAATATTACTAATGCCTGTTTGTATTATTAAGAGTTTGGCTCTTTCTCCCCATCAGATTGGAAGCTTCTAGAAGGAATGACCATTGGACTGTTAGTGAGAAGCAAAGCTTGGATTGACCTTTTTAGGTTGGTTTCTAGCTCCTCATCTGTAACGCAGCAGCGATAACCTACATAAGCTACATACGCCCAAAGGTTGTGGGGAGATCAGTTCCCCACCTCTTGGTCCTATGACCTTTTCCCTCTCCTTCAGTTTTCTCTCTAGGGCCCCTGCTGATCTGACCCCCATGAGAGCCCAGATAAGCAGTGGAGGCTGCCCAGTCCTGCTGTTCCCAAGGTGTGAGAGCAGGTCTGGGACACAGGGACAGCCTTCTCCCCAGGCTCCCAGCCCGGCTCAGGGGACAAATGTCCTGCCTGAAACAGCCCCCTCCTGTCTCCTTCTTGGACCTCAGCTCCTACAAGCAACGTGCACCATTTTCTTTTCCACTGAAACAAGCTTTTAAGTTAAGGCAAGTTCATCCCGCTAAATGTAACCCTTTCACACCTCTATTTTCTCCCCTGTTAAAAATACTAAACAAAATGTCATTTAAATCTCAGAGACAGTTCTAGATGGACCTAGCCAAACAGCAGCTGAGCGAGATCTCTTGGCCCAACATCCTATTTCTGCAGAGGCAGCAGCTGCACCAGCTCTATGCTTGCACAAGATGTTGTAAAAGAAAGACGTAATGTAACGCTTTCCCTGACCCTGGCCCCCTGTGTCCCACCCCAGGAGAATCAGGCTCCATATGCATGGTTAGAACTGCAGTGCTTTGCAAAGACACTTTCTAAACTCCCTCCACTTCCTTCCCCGGCTCACGCACATTTCTTGAGTCTTTGCACGTGTAAGGTATGGCTGACAGTTTTGCCTCTTGAGGGAATCTGTAAATATTAGTGCTTCCTCCTTACTGTCCCATCATTCATACAGAAGGATAAACTTGGACCCAAAGGTAATCTAAGGTGATTTGATGTGCAAAGTGCTCTAGGGACACCGAGGCATAGAAGATCAACGATGCCGAGGGCAGATGCGGGGGGGGGGGGGTGCAGAGGAGGTTTACAACAAGGGTAAGGTATGTCTCAGCCGTGAACGAAGACACAGAATTTTGCAGATGGGGGCTGTGGAGGATGGGGCGCAGTCACCGGAAATAGTCTGCGAAGGCACAGGAGGGTGGGGATCTGTCCGGAGATCCTTGAGGACCTCCGTGAGATGAGAATTTGGGAGGGTGTGGGGTGGGAGCTGGCTGGAGGTGAGACCCCAGCGGGGCACAGTGCTCTGTCTGGAATGGGGGAGAGTGCGTGCATACAGCGGGCAACAGAGGAACCGAGCTGGGGCCAAAAAAGACGGCTTAATATTCAATTAATGCTCTAAGCAGCACAGCAAAGAAAAGCAGAGAGTCTAAGACAAGCTGCAGGCTATGGCCCGGTGCTCACAGACAGAGCACATCCGTCAGGCAGACAGGTGCTGGATCGATGCTGCCCCTGGAGCAGGTGGGTTGCCAGGAAACTTGGCATGTCTCTAAGAACAACCATAGTCTACTTTCTGGTTTTCTTACATGTGTGTTTTTCAGTGATATTAATTGTACTGATGGATATCGTCATGTGCCGAGAATTCTGCCAAATACCTTGCGTGGGATCCAGCTGGCTCACTGAACATCTGGGTGGCCGACAGTGGCCTTAGGCTGGCTGACCAGGCAAAGGCAGTCGGATGCCGTAGTCCCAAGAGGGAGGCTTGGTGCACCCCAGCGCTGGCCCCGTGCCTGCCTGCCCCTCGGCCCGCATGTTGTTTTGAAGGCTGAGACTCAGGTCTCAGGTCTGCTGAGACTCAGCAGCACTAAGGGATTCTGCTTACCTCAAGTGGACTGGGGTGCGGGGTGGTTGGTCTTATTTATTTACTTAATGTTTATTTATTTTTGAGAGAGAGAGACAGAGTGTGGGGGAGGACCAGAGAGAGGGCGAGACACAGAATTCAAAGCAGGCTCCAGGCTCTGAGCCGTCAGCACAGGGCCCGACGTGGGGCTCAGACTCATGAACTGTGAGATTCTGACCTGAGCCGAAGGCGGAACTTAACCGGCAGAGCCCCTGGGGTGGTTGGTTTTAAAGGACGTATACTCCACCTTTCCCCCACACCAGAGAACATCACTTCCGCGCTGGGCAGGCCCCTGTGGACAGCAGGACTTCCTGTGACACCTGCTTTTCACTCTCTTAGTCTTTTTGTTTTGGCGTTAAGTAAACACAGGCGTTGCACCGTATCCTCAAAACGCCATGAAATGTGAGTGGACATCATTCCCCAAACTGAAACTCAAAGTCTAACTTGCGGGCCACACAGAGCTGGACGGGGTGGGGCGGTGGGGCGGGGGCAGGAATCTGCCTCAGGGCATCTGGGTTCAGAGTCTATGCTCTTAGAAACCACACTGCTGGAATCGTTTCCACTTTTCTCTTTCCTTATCCACGTTTATTTACTTCTACGTTAAGCGAATAGGCTTATTCCAGTTTGTTAAAGGCTCTGACGTGTCAGGTAGCAGGTGCGGGGGATAATGGACTGGCCACTCTGAAGCATCTTGTGGGCCAGGGTTTCCAGAAGTGAGAAGGATCAGCCAAGGTTCTCCCGGGCTCTCAAGCCCTCGGCCACGCTGAGACCAGTTCCTTTTTCCTTATGATACAGACTCATTGGTGCCTTCAGAACCAAGAGTTTCCCTTAAAGCATCTGTTCGGCTACCTTATCTCGAGAAAATTGAGGTGCAGAACATCTTGGTGGCCCCAGGCCACACAGAGCGGCCTCTTGGCCTGGGAACGGGCGGCCAGGAGACACGTCCCTAGCCCCGTGCCGGCCCCGTGGCCACCACGGTCCCCGTGTGTCTGGGTGAGGTGTGTGCTGTCCCTGGCAAGCCCGAGGGCACAGTCACCCCAGTGTTTCTCCGTCGGTGGGCAGGGGGTGCGTTTGCAAAGCCTCCTGTCCCAAATTTCTGTGCCTCTACCTGTCCCTCAAAAAAATGTACGTACGCCTGAAAACCAAAGAGGGGCTTTCACTCCTATTTCGATCACAAGGGTCGTCTGAACCCCTTTAATGTGAGACTGGTTGTCTGACGAGTTCTCATTAAGTCCTGGGCTTGTAGGTTGAACGTCAATATTTGCTTTCTGCTTTCATATTATCTTAAATCCTTCCAATAATATATTTTCCAATGAATTAATTGGTATTTTCCAGTAAATTAAATGGAAAAGGCTCTGGGCCGTGTTCTCTTCTTCATGCCCATGTCCAGTCACTCGTGCCAACGGGGCCCCCAGTGGCCTGTCCTCCCGAAGGGAGGGACGATAATTAGAAAGGAGTCAGAGTAATTGAAAGTGCCTATTGGGCTCAGAGCCCATAGGGAAAAAAAATCAGCCCTTGCATTTGTAGAAAGCTCATTTCACAGATTCAGCGTTTAAAAATACAGATGTGGGGGCACCTGGGTGGCTCAGTTAAGCGTCCGACTCTTGATTCCGGCTCAGGTCACAAGCTCACAGTTCGTGGGTTTGAGCCCTGAGCTGGGCTCCGCACTGACAGTGTGACCCTGCTTGGGATCTCTCTCTGCCCCTCCCCTGCTGACACTTTCTCTTTCTCTCTTAAAAAAAAAAATAGGGGCACCTGGGTGGCTCAGTCCGTTGAGCGACCGACTTCGGCTCAGGTCATGATCTCATCATGGTTTGTGAGTTCGAGCCCCGCGTCGGGCTCTGTGCTGACAGCTCGGAGCCTGGAGCCTGCTTCTGATTCTGTCTCCCTCTCTCTCTGCCCCTCCCCCACTCATGCTCTGTCTCTGTCTCAGAAATAAATAAACATAAAAAAAATAGACTTAAAAAATAAAATAAAAATACAAATGTGATATGTTGCCTCTGGTCTTACACCCTTCCATGGTTCCTTACCACTTTTAGGGCAAAAGCTACACTTCTTACAAGACCTGACCTGACGCAGCCAGCTCTGAACTCTGCCTCTTTTGCTCATTGTTAAGTCTCTAGAACCGGGCTCAGGGCCTGGACCCTGGAGCTTCATAACTGTTCCCTATTCTGCACTCACCCACCCTGTGCCAGGAGTCTGCTTTGGGGATGGGCATCGAGGGCGTAGAGGGGGCATACAACCCTGGGACTTGCCTCAGTCTAGTGTACAGATCGTGCCTAAGGGGCCAGGACGCACAGAAGAGTCTCAGGGGACAGTCTCCCCAGCACAACACTTCTGTAACAGGTAAACATCAGACAGAGCACAAGCATTCAAAGTGTCAAAGCAAAAACTGCCCTGGGCCAAGTTGAACAGGCAAGTTAGCCTTCCTTCCAGGGTACTGCAAAGGGGAGAGAGCCCAGAGCCCAGATGAAGGGACACTAGGACAGAGGACGGTGGGGCCTCTGCGTTTACTCACTGGCTTTGTCCAAAGGAAAGTAAGGTCTCCCCTGTGTTACGATCCGAGGTAGTTGTACCGCTTGGAGTGAGCTGTCCACAGAGGCTCCTAAACTCTGCTGTCTTTTCCGATGATTGAATCTTAAAGGGAAGTTCTCAGGTCCCGAGAAAGACTTTCCTGGACTGCGAAGCTGGCAAAAGGTTTTTAAGAAGACACACATCTCAAAGGAGCAGAGACGGAATTGATAATTGCAGGTTTTTCTTTTTTTTAATTTTTTTTTTTCAACGTTTTATTTTTGGGACAGAGAGAGACAGAGCATGAACGGGCGAGGGGCAGAGAGAGAGGGAGACACAGAATCGGAAACAGGCTCCAGGCTCTGAGCCATCAGCCCAGAGCCTGATGCGGGGCTCGAACTCACGGACCGCGAGATCGTGACCTGGCTGAAGTCGGACGCTTCACCGACTGCGCCACCCAGGCGCCCCGTTAATTGCAGGTTTTTCAAAGAAAATGACTTAAGAAAAGGGAGGTCAGAGACCCAGAGTCGGGAAGTCTGCCTCAAGTTCATCTAAACTCAGGGGAATGTAAAGGGCTTCTGGGTCAAAAGTTTCTGGAAATTGGCCTAAGGGAGTAGAGAAATGGAGAAGAACCCCTTCAGGAAAATGTGCTAAACCTCAGAACAGTGGTCGTCTGTGGCCTTTGAGACACAGTCTAATTTGCTGCCTCCACCCAGCTCCTTGTTCCAGAAGCTCTTTCCTGGGCATGTGCAGCCAGGAATATGGGGGTTCCCCCCGTCCCCAGAAACCAGTGGCTGAGCCTGGGAGGGCAGGCTGCCGGCATTTTTTTTTTTTTTTGGTCTCTATCCCCTCAGGTTCATGACGCAGAAACTATTCCAGGCAGGTGCAGCTGGGTGGACCGGGTCCTTCTTGTCCCGCCCAGCCCCCACTGGCAGAGTGGCAGCTCCAGGCTTGGATGCCCGAGGATGCTGAGGCCACCTTGCGTCATCCCAGCTCGCTCGTAGTGTGAAGGCCGCATACCAGAAAGGGCAAGACAGGAAGCGCAGGGGCTGCCCCGATGCCCCTACCTCCGGCCACACGCACACACTGCCCACTCATACAGCAGGGTTGTCCCTCGGGGAAAAACATGTCCTCGTCCCCACCTCTGGTGCTCTGGGGCAGGGGATCTTCCCAGGAGGAAAGCAGGTCAGAAGGAAAAGGGCCCTGCGGGTCCGTCTGAAGGACCGGCTTTATCTGGAACACACAGTTGGAGCTCTCCATGTCCAAGGATGTTGTTGAAAATGATGGAGGTCTTGGGATCCCTGCAGGAGCTGAGAGCGGTCCCTGGCTGACGACCATCAGGAAAACAGGGACCTCGGTCCTGCGACCACAAAAAGCTGAATTCTGCCAGTGATCCGTGAACTTGGAAGAGGGTTATGGGCTCCAAAGGAGAACACGGTCCGCCCAACAGCATGATTGCAGAGATGCTTGTGAAGCCACGCCCACAACCCTTATCCATGGAAACCATGAGAAAAGAAGCGTGTGTCATTTTAAGTCCCTACGTTTCTGGGATTTGTTATAGAGCATAGGAAACTACTACCCACCCAGAATGAACACCGCGGGTACTCCGCCACGTGCTATTCCACGTTCTGTCTTATGTCCATTTATAGATCAAGGATCTGCAAAGCGGAGAGGCAACTCGCCAAAAGCCACACGGCTCAGGAGGGCCACCAAGATGGGCGAGTGAGTGTTCTTTCTCCTCCGGTGTCGGGATTTCCTGGTGGACGGGGCTGCCTCAGGGCTGAGTGCTTTCTGCCCCTTCTTGTAGAAACGTCACATTATGGCTGCTCCCGTTTTGTAGTTGGAGGAAATATGACCCCAGAGGCTTGGGGACTTGTTTAAGGCGACGTAGGTAGGTCTGATATCATCACCCACTGGTGTTTTCCCTGCCACGGTTCTTTGGTTGGGGTTTGCGAGGCAAGACCTGATGGAGCAGTAAAAAAAAAAAAAAAAAAAAAAGCAGTCTTGGGAATCTAAAACAACCTGCCGCTCTTGAAGCAATGAGCATCGCCACCGTGGATGACGAGGGCCTAAACCCAGTCTGGGATAGGAGGGCGAGAGATTTCTACATCCGGAACATTAAAGAAAAAATCCTCCCTTGTCTCTTACACAGATTCTACCAGTGCCTCCTTTGTTACCACTTAAAAAAGAAGCTGAAGAAGGAAAACCAAAGCTTACCCTAACACACATTCTTATTTTATGAGCTGGTGGTTTGTCCTGCTCATAGCCTAGAAACCACTAGGCGTTCTGCTGTTCCTGCCAGCGCATGTGGCAAAACGAATTTAAAAAGACGTAAGAGATCTCGCGTCTAACTGAATGGACGCACCTGCAGGATGATGCTGATCACGCCCCAGAGACAGGAAGCATGAGGCCCCTGCGTAAGTCCCTTCTCTGATTCCCGCCTTTCCCCGGGGAGAGGAAGGGTCCAGCTCCCTAAGAAGACAGACCTGCTGAGAACACACCCCCTGGCCTGTCATCGGCAGGAAGCGGCCTTGGTTAGAAAATGAGGCCAATATGAATGACTGCAGACAGGTGGACGCGTTCTCCTGAGATGCGGGCTACTCAGAACACGTTATTTAGCTGAACCGTAAGTAGTAAATATTTAGTACAACAGTGACCCTTGTCCGTATTCATTTTGCTTCTACTCTCCATTCTTCCGTCAGAATTTGGGGTCTCCGTCCTCAGCGTGGCCCCCCTCCCCCTGCAGGGCTCACCGATGAGGTACATGGAACCACCACGGGCTGCATGCTCGAGTCTAAAGTCAGGCGTCGCCCTCCGTACCTTCTCCTTCCTCACCGGCCCGCGCTCACCCCTTCCCTAAGTCCTGCCGATGCTTCCTTCCATCGCCACGCGCCCCACTCAGGACCGCTTCTCAGTGTTCGTGGCCCCACTCCCATTCGAGCGCCCACCATCGTGGGATCGCTGCAAGTTCCCCCTCTCTCTCCGCCTTTCCCCGCCTACCGCCTGCTCTCCCAAAGCAAAGTCAAGGCTTGGCAGGCTACCCTGCAGTGCCGCCTGACAGCTGGGGTGCCTTTTCTGTAACGCAGGTGCCTGCCTTAAGCATGATTTCCCGGCAGCCACTCACTCCAGTGCTGTCCGTCTCCAATGGCCACGTTGCCGGCCACGAGACCAGGTGGAGGCACCAACCCTCCCCTCCCTGTTTTAGGTGTCTTGGTTGATTTCCGGACCTGACCACTTTGGGCCGCCTGCTTTTTTGTCTCTCTCCCTTTGTTCTAAGTTCCCACCCTTAGGTTTTCAATTCATCAACAAGGAGGGAGCCCTTGAAACCCTAAGCGCTCACCCTTGGTCCCAGTAGAAGCAGAACCCCTTGGCCCCCAGCTCGGGCTTTCTCTCTGCCTGCGACGTCGCTCGGTGGCCCCTGGTGTACCCTGTGCGCTCCAGGACCTGTGAGTAGTAAACTTCTTCTCTTTTCCCCCCAAAGTTTTGGATGATTATTGCAGAGAGCTGCTTGCAATCATAATATGAACCACAAGGGCCAGTCCAGCCACAACACTGGTTATGGATAAGCTGAGACCGGCACGTGATACGCCTTCCTCCTTAAGATCCTAAAATGCTCTTACAGTTTAGCTGGACTAAATATCCTGGCATTGTGGGTCCTTGCTCAGCGCTGTGGCTCCTGCCCCCTTCCCTCCCCTTCCTCTCCGTGATACAGCCTCACTGAACACACCCAAACCATCCCGACCTCAGGGCCTTTGCCCAGAAGGCAGGGCCTCCGTGTGGGTCTCCTCTGCCATTCCGATTCTAGCTTGGCTTCACCTTTTCTGAGAAGCCTCCTTGACCACCCTAAGGTCATTCCCTGTCCCCTGGGGTTATTCGCTGCCAGCACTGACCATCATACGGATTCTTTCAGCTTTATTGAGGTGTAAATGACAAAATCATAAGCTATTTAGGGGCACCTGGGTGACTCAATCAGTTGAACGTCTGACCTCAGCTCGGGGCATGATCTCAGGGTTCCTAAGTTCGAGCCCCACATTGGGCTCGCTGCTGTCGGCCCAGAGCCCTCTTCAGATCCTCTGTCCCCCTCTCTCTTTGCCCCTCCCCTGCTTGCTCTCAAAAATAAATAAAACACTGCAAAAAAAGGTTAGAAGCTATTTAAAGTGTACAACATGATGATCTGATGTGCAGATACAATGTGAAAAACTTTCCCCCATCATTTAATGATCACTTCCATCGCCTCACATATTTATGTATTTTGAGGGGTGAAAACTTCTAACTGCAACTTTGTATTCTCTTACCGATCTCCCTATTTGCCCCAACCCCTAGCCCCTGGCAACCCTTTTCTGGCCCATGTTTCTACGAGTTTGATTTTTTTTTTTTTTTTTTTTTTTTTAGATTCTACATACAAGTGATACCATGCTGTACTTATCTTTCCTGTTTGACTTATTTCACTTTGCATAACGCCCCCCAGTTCTATTCGTGTTTTGCAAATGATGGACCTCCTTTTTGAAGGCTGAACAGTGTTCCTTGATATGTATATACACCACAGTTTCTTTATCCGTTCCTCCACTGATGGACACTTAGGTTGCTTCCGTATCTTGGCTGTTGTAAACAATGCTGCAATGAACATGGGCGTCGGATCTCTCTTTCAGAGAGTGATTTTGTTTCCTTTGGATATATACCCAGCAGTGGGGGTTGCTGGGTCGGATGATCGTTCTCGTTTCAATTTCTTGGGGGAACGTCCACACTGTTTTCCGTGTGGCTGCACGGATTTTCATTCCCACCAACAGTGCAGGGGGATTTCCTTTTCTCCACGCCCTCATCAGCACTTGTTAGCGTTTGTCTTCTTGGAAATAGCCGGCCTGACAGGTGTGGGGTGATACCTCACTGTGGCTTGATTTGCATTTCCCTGAGGCTCAGTGATGCGGAGCACGTTTTCAGGCGCCTGTTGACCATCTGTATGTCTTCTTTGGAAAAATGTCATTCAAGGCCTTCGCCCACTTATAAATATAGATTTTTTTTTAAAAATGTCCACTCTCTCCTCCAACGAGAATATAAATTTCATGAAAACTAAGGTCTTCTCCATCTTTATGATCTCTATCCAAGGCATTTGGGACAGGACACAGCATGGAGAAGACCCACAATGGGTCCCCCAGGACGTGTTGAGGGGAAACTAAGCCCCTTGCTCGCTTTCTCCTCAAAAGTGGTGGCTCTGAAAGGAAACTCATCGCTAAGATTTGTGGAATGAATGGGAGTCCCTGCAATGAGACTTTTCTCCACGAGAGGGCAGAGTTCACCGCGTTTAAAAAATGTGTCCTTCAAAGAGAGGGCCCGCCCTACAGCTGGAAACCCTTTCCCCGTGGCTTTGGTCTAAAAGCGCTAATAGTCCATAAGGGGCTCCCAGTATCCGCAGAGCCTACTGTTTAATATAATTTGGTGTCTTTCCTGCCATAGTTTGAAATTAAAACGATTCAAAACGAAAGGCAAAACGAAAACTCACGCTTTCTCCTAAATGATTTTTCTTCTCACTGAATGCTATCACAGCAATAAAAGGTTCAAACCAAATAAACACATTATCATGCCTACATTTTGCATTAATTGCAAACGAGTCACTCCAGACCCCGATTAAATAAATGCTAAACAAATACTTAGAGACTGTCAGTTTGAAGGGCATTGCGTTCCTGGCTTCTCTGGGGGCATCTCCCAGTGCTCCAGCCGGCTGATGGCCTCCTGCCTATTGCTAGGTGAGGCCATGGGGCCTTACCTTCCCTACCCTGCTGGCAGAATCAGGCCGGGTGCTCTTCCCAGGCCTAATCCTAGTCCTCGGGAAGGAGACACTTAACCAACTGCTTCACCTTTTCTGCAGAGGTGCCCAGACTCCCTGGAAGGTGAGTCACCAGCCTGATATAGACACCTTCTTGGCCTCCATGAATATCCATCGGGAGCCCGTAGCTTCCCCCCACTCATCAAGCAATTAGGCCCAATGAAGAATGTCCTTTTCCCCAGCTAAGTGGTTCTTAACGTGATAGTACATTAGCCTCATCTGGAAGCTTTTAAAAATCCTAATACCCGCTCGTCCCCAGTTCAGTCTGAGTCTCTGGTGGCGAGCCTATGGATGTATGTTTTTAAATATCACGTGACAGGGAGACTTCCAAACCTTCCGTGGATCCCTTTGAGCAGGCTAACATTCATGCCATGATTCCCACATTTGCCACAGCAAAAATACCAGCGTCTCCCAGGCATATGTCTTCAGGGGTAGTATTTGCTTTTTCTTTGAAAGTCATACCATCAGCCGAGAGATGACAAAGACCTGTGTCCTCTGCACCACGTAAGGACAGAAGACACAATTCGGGGCCCCATGCCAGAGAGCAGAGTTCCTTGTGGCCTTTTGGGTGGCATTTCACTGGTGAAGCAGAAAATTTGAGAGAAAAATGGAAAGCAGAGGCACTTTGCAGACTCGTTCATGGGATTTCAAACCCTAGCCTCTATCATGATGCTTTCAAAGGTCTATAAAAGCTACAGTGATCACTCATCACCAGGGCTTTCTGTTCACAAAAGGGCAACATATAACATCTGTCTGAAGGGCTAAAAGCAGATGTTTAAAATGGTTCAAAATGGCCCATGGCTTTCAAGTTCTCTTCATGGTAGAATAGGTGATTGCTGAGACATTCCTCAGGGCTTTCTCTTTCTCTCTGATGTCAGCGAATACCAATCAGCCTAATTGTTCCATTGAACATCCTGTAATTCTTTGTTGGTAGCCACCTAGGATACGCGTCCTTAATAAACTGGGCAGATGAATCCAGCTGGGAAATAGGCAACTCAAGCTGGCCCAGCCTTGGATTACCACCAAAAGACTTCACTTACACCAGCCGAAAGCTCCTTCCCTCCTTGGGAACTCACTAGTCATTGTTGAGAAGGATGGATAGGAAGCCACTCTGGTAAAGAAGGGGTGGGGTGACACGTAGCCTCTGATTAAGT